TAGCAATTTTGAAGATGATTTCCTACCTATTATCTCCTTTGGCCCTCAAAACACCCTTAGGAAGGTATGGCTGTGCTATCATCTTTACTTTGATGATAAGAAAATTGGCTCAGAGATAAGTGGCTTATACCAGCTTCACCACTGGCAATTTGTAGAGTTTTGACTGGAAAATAAGATTGGAATCTTGAAGTTCTGGGTTCTATCTACATTATTCTTTCAGAGCTGGGCTCAAGTCTCACCTCCTCTGAGGATCTTCCCCTTCACACAGGATTCTTCCTTGTTCCTGATGAGGTCTAATTATTATTTTCTATACTACTCATTTGATAATGGCCACAAATACCTTGAACTATCATCTACCTAGAGGTATAGGCTCTGTTCCACCACATTATTTGTAAGTTGCTCCTGAAGCAGGAACAATATTGAATATCAATTGGTTTCTTCATCAACTTCACACCATGTCTTTTCTGCAAATTGTGTCCAGTTAACATTGGCTGAGGCATGGCTATCACTGTGGGTTGCATTACTCAAAGAGCTGACTCTATGTAACAGGACCGAAAAGAAATATGCCCTGATCCATTCATGCTTTGTGGAACACTGGAAAAATTCCTGCTGATAAAGTTATTGCAAAGCATAGATAAACCTGGAAACCATCATTCTTAGCAAACTGACACAAGAACAAACACTGCATGTTCTTGCTCATAGGCGGGTGCTGAAAAATGAGAACACACGCACACAGGGAGGGGAGCATCACATACTGGGGTCTGTGGGGGAGAACTAGGAGAGGGACAGTGCGGGGTGAGGAGTTGGAGAGGGATAACATGGGGAGAAATGCCAGATATAGGTGATGGGGAGAAAGGCAGCAAATCACATTGCCGTGTTTGTACCTATGCAACAATCTTGCATGTTCTTCACATGTACCCCAAAAACTAAAACACAATAAAATATACATTTTTCAAAAAAGTTATTGCAAAGTGCATTATATTAGTAAACATATATGCAGGGGGCTTTATTCTGTGGAAGTAGGAATTACATCTTATAGTTGTGCTTGTTTGTCTTCTTCAGAGTGCCTTCCATGTGGCAAGGACTCATCATGAAAAATTGTAAGTGATTTATACATGAAATAAGACCTCCATTGAAATTTACTAACATACATGGTGATTTGTTTTTTCAGAGCCTTGGTCAGGGAAGGCAAAGACTCAGTTTCAGATCTCAGTTTCTCCTTTTAACAGGAGACAGGTAAGTTAACTTCTCAAAGTTTTGACTTCCTTCACTGCAAAACTAAAGCACAAATAACTATATCATGGTGAACAAATAAAAGTATCAAATGTCTTTTTATACAAGAACTTTATAAAATATGAAAAAGTGTCAAACCAGATATGGTCCTTGGTGAGTTTAAGCAAGTTAAACTGTAAAAATCAGGGCTCTCAATTGTAAAATGAGAGGATTGGTTTAGATAATTTTTAAATTCTTTCAGCCTTTGGCTAAAGAGTCTATGACTCTGAAATTCCAGCTTCAATTGCCAAGGAATTCTAACATTTTAATTTTTCATTCCCGATACATAAACCTCAACGAGTCCTCTAAGGCACAAAGGAACATTCTATTTTGAATAATTCAATCATAATCCATTTTTAAAGAATAATCTAGCCTGATATAAATAACTGCACTGATTTATGAGTTTTCACATTCTCTTTTGAACATTTCAGGTAGGAAGTCCCTGTGCCTTTATTGCACTGCATTGAGCTGCAGGCCCTACACACAGGGTCTCTCATTCATCGGACCATTCCTGCAGGGAGAGGGTGGGTGTTGTTATTAACCGAATGTGCATTTAGTCTCCATCTGGCAGATTTCCTATGTGGAAAGGAAGAGCTCCCCACAGTAATGTGTAGTTTGTGAATTGATGTCTTGCTGCTGACATGACCTCTCCTTCTGAGTAGCTTCTATAAATGAATACCCGTGTAATGTCAGCTTGAAATGTGTCTGCTGTAGAGCTGGGAACTTGGAGGGCAGGAATTTACACAAGGAATGAAAATAAAAGCTAGGACTTGGATGGGACGGGCTTCACCTAGCTGTTCTTGCCATTTTCACTCAGGCAGCTCAAGAGCCAAAATGAGAAGTCCAAGGACAGCTAGGTGAAGAGCTAATATAGGAATCTCAATGGTATGAAAGACACATTCATTATCATGGACACACCTACATACTTAATTTCATGTTACCCTCACACTTTATCCTGTACATTGGGCTCAGTGAAACTAAATGACTTTCTTGAGGTCATACAACTGATGAAGAATAGTTAGAATTTTCATCTAGCTTTTGATACTACTCTTTTATACCTATTTATAGTCAGATGGAACACTTGTTTGAGGTGATTTCAACATAAAATATAAATATGTAAGCGTTGGGCCCTTGAATGTTAGAAGACCCACCCTTTTCCTGCCTAAACGGAGGTATAGAGGCATAAAGATATATGTCCATAAGTATGATAAAATGGACTTTGGGGTCTCGATGAGGGAAGATTGGGAGAGAGGGAAGGAATAGAAGACTATATATTAGGCACACTGCTCCGGTGATGGGCTCACTAAAATCTCCTTGCAGGAACTTATCCATGTATCCATGTAACTAAAGAACTTATCTACGTAACCAAAAACCCCCTGTACCCCCAAAAACTATTGAAATAAAAATTAAAATTATAAGAGAAAGAAACATGCACAGATACACATTTTTTCCCATTTATTTATTTTATTGCATTTTAGGTTTTGGGGTACATGTGAAGAACATGCAAAATTGTTGCATAGGAACACACGTGGCAGTGTGATTTGCTGCCTTCCTCCCCATCACCTACATCTGGCATTTCTCCCCTTGCTATCTCTCCCCAGCTTCCCAACCCCCACCGTCCCTCCCCTATGTCCCCCCAACTGACCCCAGTGTGTAGTGCTCCCTTCCCTGTGTCCATGTGTTCTCATTGTTCAACACCCGCCTATGAGTGAGAACACGCGGTGTTTGATCTTCTGCTCTTCTGTCAGTTTGCTGAGAATGATAGTTTCCAGGTTCATCCATGTCCCTACAAAGGACCCAAGCTCATCGTTTTTGATGGCTGCATAATATTCCATGGTGTATATGTGCCACATTTTCCCTATCCAGTCTATCGTCGATGGGCATTTGGGTTGGTTCCAGGTCTTTGCTATTGTAAACAGTGCTGCAATGAACATTCGTGTGCACGTGTCCTTATAGTAACGATTTGTAATCCTTTGGATATATACCCAGTAATGGGATTGCTGGGTCAAATGGAATTTCTATTTCTAGGTCCTTGAGGAATCGCCACACTGTCTTCCATAATGGTTGAACTAATTTACACTCCCACCAACAGTGTAAAAGTGTTCCTATTTCTCCACATCCTCTCCAGCATCTGTTGTCTCTAGATTTTTTAATGATCGCCATTCTAACTGGTGTGAGATGGTATCTCAATGTAGTTTTGATTTGCATTTCTCTGATGACCAGTGATGATGAGCATTTTTTCATATGTTTGTTGGCCTCACGTATGTCTTCTTTTGTAAAGTGTCTGTTCATATCCTTTGCCCACTTTTGAATGGGCTTGTTAGTTTTTTTCTTGTAAATCTGTTTTAGTTCTTTGTAAATTTTAGATATCAGCCCTTTGTCAGATGGGTAAACTGCAAAAATTTTTTCCCAATCTGTTGGTTGCCGATTCACTCTAATGATTATTTCTTTTGCTGTGCAGAAGCTGTGGAGTTTGATTAGGTCCCATTTGTCTATTTTGGCTTTTGTTGTCAATGCTTTTCGTGTTTTGGTCATGAAGTCCTTGCCTACACCTACATCCTGAATGGTTTTGCCTAGATTTTCTTCTAGGGTTTTTATGGTGTTAGGTCTTATGTTTAAGTCTTTAATCCATCTGGAGTTAATTTTAGTGTAAGGTGTCAGGAAGGGGTCCAGTTTCGATACACATATTAATATATGTTGGAATAGTTATATAGACTCTAGATTTTAATTTTTTATAGAGCTCTATGAGGCCTATTGGTGTGAAAAGTTCTTGCTTGGGCTGGGCATAGAAAGAAGTTGGGAAGGAAAAAGAGGAGAAGAAGAAAGAAAGAAAGGAAGTAAAGAAGGAGGAGCAGGAAGAGGAGGAAAAAAGTCAATTATATCAAGTAGGAAAACTGTGTAGCTGAGATTAGAATGCACCCAGTGCTTGAACAGCTGTTTCCCAGGCTCTTCTCCAAATGCAGGCACTCTTGAGCTCTGTAGATTTCAATGAGAAAGATTCCTATATGTAGTGGATCCTAGCCTGTAAAGGCTGTTCTTCCTTGTGTGTTGCTGGATGGGCCTCATTGCTAAAGAAGAGGGGAGGGAGGAGGGTGAATTGAGCAGATATAGATTTTACAGGCCTTGGGCTCAGAACCTCCTAATCTTTCCAGGTGATGGCAACCATGTGCCAGAGAAAGCTATACCCATGTTCCTTATGTTCCACGACTCCTTCTTTGCTCTTTTTCCCAGAAGACTTATGATTTATCCTCCTCAGACAGAGGCTGCCCTGTGCATAATGGAGTTGAATAATCTCAAAACTAAATTGATGTTTTAAACCACCTGAGTTAGCCAACCAAGATTTCTGGTTTTCATCTATAAAGTAAAAATTAATTTGTTGAGTTTTCTGGGGAGATTTTGATATCATGACCCATTGTGGTGACTTAGAGTAATTGTAGTTATAAACACCATCAAACAATTGATATGTGAGAAGTGGAATTAATCACCACTCCCTTCCCAAGCACACACATTCGCTCACACCATCTAGCACATGAAACAAGACCTGAAGGTGGGCTAGTGCTGTGCATCATTGTGCTGTTCCTATCTTAAGAAGCAAATTTCCAGGCAGGCTTTTTTATTCTTGTAGCCTCTAATTACAGAACACCAGAATGCAATGGAGACCCAGAGGTGAGCTGAATTATTGAAAAAATAAAAGCAAAGACAGCCCAGAAAGCTATTACACATCTTCATAATAGATTCACCAAACTTAAGGGTGCTAAGAAATGCAAGCATTTAATTCAGAAGACAAATATATTTTTTCATAGCTTCAGGGAAAATAGCCTTTTTTTCTCTAAACCTTCTGGAAGTTTTGGTAATTATGTTAGACACAAGAAACACAGAAGATAGTGTAGGCTCTCCAAAGAAAGGTTAAAGTTTAAATCATTCATCTATTAAAATGTTTTCATACGTCTGTATACAACAAGGTTTATTGTTTCCCCAACACCTTAGCAAAAGGAAATGGCAATTGCGGAGGCACATGACAAGTGAGTAAGGGCAGGAATGTGGTAGGGAAGGGAGAGTATGAGGTTGGAAGGATTTAATCTTCGGCCACCTAACTCTTGATTTAGTGCCCTGTCCTTTAAATTACAACTTTCTCTGAAATATCATTTAAACTATTGAAACATCCTTTGTCTACATTAGAAAGTCCAACTTTCAAACTCACAGAACAAAGAAATAAAAAACAATACTGCATGTTTAGTTGATAAATATTATAAATGAAAGTGGGATCTCTACACCAAGTTTAACAGTGAATGAAAAATTCTTAGAGTTAAAAGTATGGTTAGGAAAATTCAGCACATTCGGTTGTATGCTTCCATCTTCTGCTTTGAACCACATCAAAAAACTAAATCAAGAAAAGCTTAACTGTCTCATGTTGCTGTTCACTAAATACAAGATTATCTTTGTAAGTAAGACTTTTCAATGTGCTGCTTTTAACATCTTCTCTGATAGCAGAAGTAACCACTGTTCTTCGGGAAGAAAGAAGCCAGCCAAATCTTAAAAGTCATGATGGCATTTAGGAGGGAGAGAAAGTTTATCCCTTAATTGCTTGCCTACTTCCCACTCACACTTAATATTGGGGGTAAAGTTTGTTGAGTATTTTCCAGAGAACACTTTTCACTTCTTTGTTCCTAAGGCTGTAGATCAAGGGATTCAGCATGGGAATCACCACTGTGTAAAACACAGAGGCTATTTTGTCTGTGTTCATGGACTGGCTGGAGTTGGGCTGTAAGTACATGAAGATGATTGTGCCGTAGAAGATGGACACAGCAGTGAGGTGGGAAGCACAGGTGGAGAAGGCTTTCTTCCGCCCTTCAGCAGAACGCATCCTTTGAATGGTGACGCATATGAATAAGTAAGAAATGAGGATGACCAGGAGGGTGAAGAAGACATTGAAGCCCACCACGAAGAAGACCACCAACTTGCTGATGCGTGTGTTGGAGCATGAGAGAGACAGGAGTGGGGGAATGTCACAGAAGAAATGATTAATCTCATTAGAACCACAGAAGGAGAGTCTGAAGGTGCCTGCTGCATGGATAGAGGCATTGAGGAAGCCAGAGACATAGGAACCAATAGCAAGGAGGGCACACACACCTGCTGTCATGGTGGTGGTGTAATGTAGGGGCCTACATACCGCTGCATGGCGGTCATAGGCCATGGAGGCCAGGAGGTAGCACTCAACAGTGGCAAACCCCACGAAAAAGAAGAACTGAGCTGCACATCCATTGTAGGAGATGACCTTGTCCCCTGACTGCAATGCATCCATTGTTTTGGGGGCTACAGCTGATGAGTAACCCAAGTCTACAAAGGAGAGGTTACTGAGGAAGAAGTACATTGGAGTGTGGAGATGGGAGTCTGAGTGGATGATCACCATCATTCCCCCATTCCCAACCAGCGTGATGAGGTAGATGAATAAAAATGCCAGGAGGAGGGGTATCTGAAGATTGGGGTCATCTGTTAATCCCAAGAGGATAAACTCGGTGACTTCTGTGCTATTCTCCATTGTGACAAATTTGAATTAACCTGATGATTAAAGAAGAGGCAGCAACAAAATTCAAATGAAAGTATGAGAGGGGATTATGGGATGATAAAAAGGTAAAAAACTAGTGTATAGAGAGAAGGTACTGTGTGTAAGATTCATGCTAAAATCTTCTGGTATATTACAGCTTTGAACTCATACGAGATAGGTGCTATTATGCCCATCTTATGGTTAAGAAAGTTAAGGCTCTGGGACCTGAATATTGAACAAGATAGTCTATTTAGGGGTCAGAATCTAAGTTCGCCCCTTTGTATTGCTGAATCCAAAGTCCATACATTCAGTTTGAATTCTTCAACATATTTACATCATATAAAGTCAAATTATGATATGGATATAACTTTGTATGTATTTAATTATTAAACATTAAAAAGTCCATCACTCATTGTCTTCCACATTCTACTTCCAACAGTATAGCCTCACTAAAGATTTTCCAAATTTCTTTTTCCTTAAAACAACACAAATCTATTCTCTCAAAGTTCTGGAGGCCAGAAGTCTCTAATCCATTTCACCGGGCCAAAATCAAGGTGTTGGCAGGACAAGGTCTGTTTGATACTAAATCCAAAGATCTTAACCACAACTTTTGTTGCCTTTATAAATTATTCCCTAAACAGCAGTTCAACTGAAAAGGAATATGGTATATGTAAATGTGAGTATGTATTTATATATATTTAGTATAAAACTATGACTTTAATATATACAAATGTTTTTTTAATCTGTGTATATGCATATGTATTTTTTTTTTACCCCTTATCAGAAGTCTTTGTGGTAGACCCTAATTACAGTTAAGTCCTCCCTTCTCTGCATCCTCAAAGCACTTGAGTCTTGGCTGATTATTGCACAATGAGTTGGGCAACCACTTACTCTTCAACTAGCTCTAAGCCCCTTGGGACAGTAACTGTCTTCATCCTTTCTGGTCCACCCATCCTGCCATGGCCCCTCACACACATATATAAATATTTGGTGAATCAAACAGAAGATCAGTAGGAAAGTGTGTAAATATTTCTCATGCTCTATTCCACAACAAACAGACTGTTGTCCTCTAGTCTCACTGGGCTTGTGCTTTGGGACAAAATATTAGCTTAGATTTGTCATATGAAAAATATTCAGGAGTAACAGTGAGTTTGCAGATGGTCAGGCCTGGAGACAGGCTTGTGTCCTTAATTTAGAGCACTCTTTCTCGTCTATTTTTGTTCTTCAACCTGAGGTGTTCAGGGCTTTTCCCACTCCTAGTAGCAGAGTGAATGGGAGCAGACTCAGAAGAAGTGAGAGAGAAAATGCAAGAGGAGAGGAGGGAAAGAGTTTGGAAAAGAAAAGAGGAATTAGAAGGAGGAAATGCTTCAGCTCTGCTAGACTTTAGCTTACCTTGAAGAATAACAAAAAGAAGGGGATACTACAGCTTGTTCTTTTGGATGACCATGACACACACGCGATGTGGCTAGTTTCATAAGAACTGGCTCAGTCAGCTTGGTACATTACTACCCAGTTATGTACCAATTGACTTTTTGACCAGTAGCATTTTCCATTATATTTATCCAGCCTTTTTGACTTTTTTTTTCTTTTGACTTTTGACATATGTGTATACTCTCTAATTCAGCAGACATAATATCCTGTAATCTATGACAGGCAGTGTTCTGATCTTACATATTAGGAAACAGAAGGATGTGGTGTCCCTCAAGGTCACACAACTACTTAACTGTAAAATCTGTACAATTCCAGAGCCTGATTTTCCAGCCTCAGCACTATTGACATTATGAGCTGGACAGTTCTTTGGTGCAGGTTGTGCTGGGGGGTGGGGGAGTGCCGTCTTGTGCATTATAAGATATTTAGCAGTTTGCCTGTCCTCTCTCCACCTATTAGATTCCAGTAACACCACCACCTCTCATTTGCAACAGTCAAAAACGTCTCCAGACGTTGCCAAATGTCCCCTAAAGAGTAACATTCCCCCGATTGAGAACCACTGTTCTAAAGTTTATAAAAAACAGTGGTTCTAAAGTTTATAAAACTCTTTTTGCATTCACTTCTTAATTTAATTATTGCATGACTAGATAGATGATAGACAGATAGATAGATAGATAAACAGATATAGACATGAAGAAACTGAGGCTCAGTGAGGTGAAGTGACTGGTTTAAGGTCTAGAACTCTGGCCAAATATTACTGCGTATTGGTAGAGGAAACCCAGGAAGGGATAATTGCTTGCTAAGTACTGTGGTCCTTTAACTAAAGAGATATTAGCCCTCATATATCTACACCAACCTTTTCCTAGACACAAGGTAGGATGAAAACCTGGAAAAATTCCAATAATAAAATGCAGCTGACTTAGGGTGGATTCTGAATTATTTTCCAAAATATCTTCTCAAATGTTTATTAGATCAATGTCCTTGGTTAATATTGACCACAGGAGTCTATTCACTTAAGCTGTAGGTTCAGTTTCGAAAACCCATTACACATCCCCCATATTGAACTGCCCCGGACTGCCATCTTCATCTATCAGCAATTAATATTCAAGATACTTTCTGTGTTCCCTTGATGGGCAACCCTTTCCATTATGCATTGCAGTTGCTGTTAATAAATGTGTTGAAATCCAGAGCAGCAGGGAGAAATCTGGAGTCAGGGCAGAGAGAAAAGGCCAATTTACATAGCACCAACCCTCGAAGCCTGCAAGGCCTGAGTTCAAATCCTGCTGCTGCTGCTGCTGCTGCATCTCCTCCCACTCCAGTCCTGAAAAACCCAGGCTTTTCTGCATGGGCCTAAAATAAATTTCGGAAGGAGACTTGAAAGAGAAAAAATATTTTAAAAATATCTAAGGTCGAATACTGAAATATCTAAGGTTAAAATATTAAGTTTAAAACTAAAATTTAAGGAATTATTATTGTTACAAACAGAGAAGTCTAAGCCATTAAGATAGCTTGGAAAGAAAAAGTTCCCTGAAAATTGCTTCTAAAGGGGTTTGAAGCATCACCCCCAGTCGTCACAGCCACATTTGGGGAGTTCTAAAGAAGACTCTCAATGGAATAAATTCCATAAGGGAAGAGAGAAGGTCTGTATTGTTTGTCACTGTTTCGTGCATTATTATCCGCCACTACATTTGAGGCAGCAGTAGAGTAGACTCAACTATTTGTTAAGTGGTGAGTGAATTTGAATATCAGCAGTTGAGTTAGAATAAGAGCTTTAATGCTCACTTGCTTTGGGACTATAAGCAAGTCAATTTTCCTTTGCAGACAGAAGATAAAGTAAGATAAAATATAAGAAAACCCAGCTAGTGTGTGCCTCTAGCAGGTGCTTAATAGAAACTAATTAATCAATCTTTTTATTAAACTGTAGGCCGAATGTGTGAACTTATTTCCCAGGTTTTATTAATACCATTTGGTAGCAACACCCCATCTAGCAATGACTATGGCAATGGGTGACTCAGAATTACCTGTGGGAAACTTCTGTCTCTATTCTTGTGAAATGTAGCAGAGGAGGTTGGGGAAAATTGAATTAAAAGTCTTTTTATATACCTACTTCTGAGCCTCCTTCTTTTAGACAAATCCATTATTTCTACCCACGGTGTGAAGAATACTGCTTTTTAAAAAGGTCAGGGAAAACATACCTATGTCCTTGGGAATTATGAGATCTCAATTCAGAACTGCTTCAACACTGGACTTTTTGAAGTCTGAAAAAAGAAAAGAAAAGAAGAGTTGTTGGTCTCTGAGGACCTTGGATTTCAAATAGTAAAAGATTTCCTGAGGCTATGTGATAAAAGTGTAAAGGCAGTTCAGCTGCTCCTGCAGTTTGCTTGAGACCCTAAATGAGCCATACCAAACTATCTGAGACGTCTGAGATCAGCTAGAAGCTGGTGCCTATGTAGATTAAGGAGCCTCTGAAGCGGGATTACCGGGTTCCCAGGTTCCCTAAGGTCTCAATTCCAATCCAGGGCTCAGCAACATACAAACAAGCAATTATAACACCACTTTCCTGAGGGAACTGAAACATTATTATGATATGGAGGCACCTCAAAGATCCCTTAGGGGCCACAGGGGAGTCTTGGTTCTTCTAATCACAGGCTAAGATTACCGACGAGAAAATTCTGTCAAAAAAATGCTTTCAAAGGAGCTTGAGGATCCAGCCCCGCTGCACACTCAGCCCACAGATTTCCTGTGAGTATTGGGAGCTGGCCCTTTATCCAAGACTAAATGGGGAGAGATTTTCAAAATGTCAGAGTATAAATGATAAATTGTATCAGAATTTCCATTTTCCCAAACCCAGCTCTGTCTACAGAACTCAAAGTTCCAAAGAGCTCTGTGAATCAAAACACTTCCAGGAATTTTTTTTTCCCCAATCAACTTGGTTTTAAATAAATTTTAACATGGAGCTTATGAGAAGCAAAGGATTTCTCTATTTCAGCCTCTACTAAATTTATATGTAAAAAATATATATTTATATATTATACATGCTATTATATATTTATATATTATAATACATAATATAGCTTCTTATATTTCAAGCCCTTTGTTCAGTATATACTTGTGTTATTTCACTTAACATTCATATAACTCTACGAGAAATATATTATCTTTCCAATTTTACAGATATGAAAACTTCTACACATACCTAATATTACTTATCTAATAATTATTTTTCTAATTTACCTAATAATATTTTTCTAATATTATTCTCTAATAACAGAAACCAAGGCTGCTTAGAGGAATGACTGGCTCTAGCAGTGGAGAAGGGAATATGCCAGAGAAGCTTGGAGCATCTTACAGTTCCAGAAAGTAATGAAATGCTCAAGTCTGTCTGACCCAAATTCTGTATATTTTTACACTGTGCTCTACTGCTTCTCTTGGGAACAAATGTGGAAAAGCAGAGATGCTCTCAGAATCTAGAAAATGATATTTTCTTAGGTTCTCACAAATCCATGTTCCACTACAGTTAGTTACAAAAGTAGAGCTTATTTACTTTTTCTTTGCTCTCATGAAAACATTTCCAAGAAAAAGCCCACTGTTAGAATACTCTTTTTAAACAAGAGAAGACATATAAAGTGGCCAAGCAAGTGGAAAGCTAGGTGATAGGAGTCCAAGGATATTTTTGCATACTCTTGGAATTTTGTAGCATCTAATCACCTGACCCACATGTCCGTCTCTAAAGACTTAGGTTTCTTTGTCATTATTTATTTGACCAATATAACAACCAAGGAAAAAAAACGAGAAAGAAAGAGGGAAAAATGGGGGAAGACAGATAAAGAGAGAAAGCAAAGAAAAGGAGAAGGGGAGGGAATGGGAGAGAAGAGGAAGAAAGAGAGAGGAAGAAGATGAGGAAAGAAGAGAAACTTCACCTGTAAGTTCAACACTCACAACTGAGACAATCTAGCCTATATATCTGACTTTATAAAATAATTTAGTACTCTCCTTTATCAGTGTTTAATACTCTAAAAAATCAAACAGATAAAAATGAAGACCATGAACATGGTGAAGTGGGGTGATTCTGGGTTTTGGCAAGTAAGAGGCCTAGAATCAGCCACTTATGAACGGATAACAGATGAATCATTAATCTTTTTGAACCGCATCCGTTCTTCATGGAGCTCAATATATCCTCTTTCTTTTCCCTCCAAAGGCTCTTAATTCCTGGGAAACACTCCTGCTTTTCCACTTTAACACCTTCAGCGTCTTCACTGTTTGGTCTCCTCACGAGATCAATTTGACTCTTCACCTTCAAATAGTTACACCTTGGGGTTTTAGAAAAAGTAAAACGCAGCAAGGGCCAATTCTGACTTTGGGATTGCTTCAAGGCCAGGTACCAGGGTCTGTCCATCCATATTTGAGTTAATGCTGCCACCTTGAGGCCATCTCAAGCTTTTCACCTGATGAGCCGTTCCCAGTGTTGGGGCTGGGAAAATGAGGACTCGTCTTCCTTGCAGCACTGACCAGTAAGTTCATATAGGAAAATGCTTTGGAATTACAAGAAAAATCAAGAAACTACCCTCTGCCTAAAAGGGTAATTTCATGGCCACATAGAATGTTAGCACCTCTTAGGACCTTGGAGGTCACAGCCACCACAGCCCACAGGTGACAATTGCAGTTAGAGCCAAATGCATCGGTTCAAATCCCAACTCTCCCTCCTAGTTCCTGGAAGGCTCTTCCATGTCACCTAGTCTCTCCACTGCACTCCTTCTCATTATGGGGCTGTTGAAAATTA